CTGTGGTATTATCGAAAGTAGTTACTAGAAATTCGCATTTCTTCCCGTGTTCTATGTAGGTTGGAGATTCTTTGTTGACATAGAAGATCTGTAAAAGATTACAAATTGTTGATAATAAATTTGACTGACGAACGTAGTGAGTCAGAAAATCCATGCGACCATCATATACTATTTTTTCTTCAAATGTTATAAATTGTAGGCAAAATTATTAACATAACTAAGAAAAAAACAAATTTTAAATAAAGATTGTAACATTGAATATTTTATTATTTGTCTGTATATATTTTTATACTTATCGTTACCATAGATACGTACTTGCATCTATCAAAACAAATATTTATGCAATGGATCTTTAAAAGCAGTTGACCCTAGAAATATTGTCATGAGTACTGATATCGCAAAACTGGAGGATTCTTAAATGATGTAAATCTTCACAATTGTACTTTTACTATAAATATTAATAATAAATAATAAATATAAAAAAAATAAATGTNAACTTTAAGGCACATTTGCCTGACGTGTATGTTGTAAGATGACATTTCCAGTTTCCATGAGACCAGTAGTAATTCAAGTAAATACTGAATAAGCTATAATAATAGTATATTATGATATTAGGAGAATAAGTGACACTTTATTTGCTAAGCGTGGAAAGTTCACTACGTTCAGACAATCTATGCGAAGCACATAAAGTATCTTATATACGTTATAAATTCTAGGTAAAATAAAGTAAAATAAGTAAGAAAAAAACGAATTTTAAATAAAGATTGTAATATTGAATATTTAACATATTTCACTGCATATATTTATCGTTACCATAGTTACGTACTCAAAATAAATATTTAAAACTAGTTGTCGCGTCGGTTAAGGACTGAAAATGAGTATAGAAGTGGCTGATGAACCTCCCCAGGTGGTAGAGGTGGCTAGAATAGCTGTAGACTGCCGACGAAATCTGGTGCAGTATATGAAGCTGCCTTTGTCAAGTTAGAGAATTGGTGTACTGGAAAAAATGTAACGCAGTACTCTGAGACGAACTAGTGAAGATGACAATTGATGATATTGAAAACATGGGATCTTTGCTGCTAATTAAAATTATTCCTAACACTAAAACTATTAAGAATAGAACTTGTACCGTTTTGGGGGATGAATATTTAAATAAATATAGAAAAGACGTTAATTTGTGCAAGTAATGGATCTTTAATAGCAGTTGACCCTAGAAATATTATCATGAATACTGATATTGCAAGGAGTTGAGGATTCTTAAATCTTCACAATTGTACTTTTACTATAAATATTAATAATAAATAATAAATATAAAAAAAATAAATGTTCATTTTTAAAATTGTATTCATAATACTATAATGTGTTATACAGTGTGTATCATCCAACTGGAATAAATTCAATAATAAATAAATGAGGGCGTTATCGAAAAAACGCTCGGATACGTCGATTAGTATTTTTAGTTGTGCATTTTTTTCAACAAAAACTTTTTATACAGGGTGTGTCATGTAACAGTGGTCAATACCAACTTTCTTATTTTAAATACAATACTCTGCATATTATTAAATTTTTGAATTCTTCAGAAAATTCTAGACATATTTCATGTACAATGTCCTATATCTATCTTCAACTGTTTCGGAAATACTAAGTGTTTTCAGATTTATTGCAAAAATTAACATTAAAAAAAGAAAACTATTTAATTACAGAAATTCGCTGCAACACCACACTAAATACTTATTTCCCATTTAACTCTTGATAATGAGAAAGTAAGCGAAAACCATTTGAGAGTTCCTTTTTACTGATATGAAATAAACAAACTATAAATAGTTTTGTTTATTTTTGTTTAAAACGCCTGGCCTTAGCAACGTGTTGTCTGCCTGCATGACAGTAGTTGTCAGTGTTAGTCGTTTGAATTTCGTTAACTGCATATCAGAAAAATGGTTCATTTAACAGAAATGCGCAAAATTACAATTCTACAAATTATTAGTTATGGAGATAACACACGGACGCAAATGAAAGTTTCTCGCTTATTTCATGAAAGATTTCCAAATTTGCCGCCATATCCCAAGGGACAATTAGTAAAATAGAAAAGCAGTTTCGCGAGCTTGGACATGTAAGGCAGATAAAAAGCAGCTGCCAATGCAATAAGTGATGATACCAAATTAGATATTATGCTTGAGTTTGAGGAAAACCCACATAATTCGAGTTGAAAAGCAGCCCCAATGTTCGATGTTTATCGATTATTCGAATATTAAAAGAAAATTAAATGCATCCTTATAAAATGAAACCAACTCAGAAGCTCATGGAAGACGATTTTGATAGGAGAACGTATTTTTGTGAACAAATGATGGCAATGTTAGATAACAATGTGATCCAATTATTAGAACATGTTTTGTTTTCTGATAAGTGCACCTTTACACTTCACGGTCATGCTAATAATCAAAATAGCCGCTATTGGTCTAATGAAAATCCTCACTGGATTACAGAAAACGTACGCAATACACTGAAAAGGTGAAAAGGTTTGGGCACGAATTGTTGGAGATCGTATCATAGGTCCCTTTTTCATTGATGGCAATATGAATGGCGATAATTATTTGCATATCCAGATCCAGCAAACCCACAAATTCCAACGAATATGATATGGTTTCTGCAAGATGGAACACCGCCCCATTACCAAATCAGTGTCCGGCATTACCTCAACCGAATATTTCCAAATCGGTGGATAGGGAGGCGAGGATCGATGGAAAGGCCAGCACGATCCCCTAATCTGACACCATTAAACTTCTTCTTATAGAGATATATCAAAAGTATTGTATACAAAACTAAACCCCTCGACTTCACTAACTTAAGAAGACGAATAACGCTTGCGATTAGATCGGTCACCCCTAAATGTTGAGTAACATTACAAGAAATTTCTATGTAGGATTAGGATGTTGCCAAGACATTCGCGGCGAGCACTTTGAACATTTCCTACATTGACAGTGTTTATAAATTTAATTTATAATTGTTTCTTTTTTTTCTCTTCCTCCTTTTATTTTTATATTTAATTAGCATCAAGCTTATTTTTGCATCTATGTAAATTTATATTTTATTTATTAAAAAACACATGTCTTGAATCGGCACGATTCCGCATGGAAGGAAGAAAGGAAGCGACAAGGAGTAAAAACAAACGACACGTATCCTAGGTGTAAAACAGAGCTCACTAATTCGAAAAATTAGCTAACAAACGCACACATATTCAGTACCTGTGCAAACTCTGAAATAATCAAAAGAATAACTACACCGAATTGGTAAGTACCTACCGATTCAATTCGATTTTCATTTTGTTAATACAGTCCATTTATTTTCTTTTTTCTTCTTATACTGAACCGCGTGATAAACAGTATTACTTATTAGTTTTTGAGCGTACTCTAGCGAATTTCTGTAATCAAATAATTTTCTTTTTTTAATGTTAATTTTTGCAATAAATCTGAAAACACTTAATATTTCCGAAACAGTTGAAGATAGGTATAGGACATTGTACATGAAATATGTTTCTGAAGGATCCAAAAATTAAATAATATAAAGGTGTTGCATTTAAAATAAGATAGTTACTATTGACCATTTACATGACACACCCTGTATAAAAAGTTTTTGTTGAAAAAATGCGCAACTTAAAATGCCAATCGACGTGACGGAGCGTTTTTGCGACCACGCCCCCATTTATTTGTTATTGAATTTATTCGATTTGGCTGATACACACTGTATATCTTTACACAAATAGGTACCTATATAAAAAAAATTGTTAAATTTTAGTTTAAAACCATGTTATACTTTAAAATTTTAGACAAAACAGTGAAACGAATGAAAATTTAATAAAAAAAAATAGAACAAGCATATTGTATTGGTTAATCATGGTTTTAATCAAAAGACTAACATTTTTAAAACATAATAAATAATAATACCTATAAGATGTAACCAAATTTTAATTAATTCTTTTACATGTTAATTTTATTTCCAAATAATATCCATTTTATCCTCAATTGCACTTATATTTACAACGTTATAGTATTCTTACTCAGATTATACTCCGAGCAGTTATTAGAACATTGGAGAACACTCCTATATCGCAACATTGTATACGCTACCACGATTCAAAGCGCCACCTATGTGAGAGTATAAATACCGGGAACAAACTAGAACTCTCTCTCTTGAATTCCTTTCTTTGCCTTTGTCGTTTGATACAGGCTCTCAAGAGAAAATTTTTGTAATTGTTATTAATGTTTAATTGCTTTTGCTTATTTAATATTTATGTTAAATTTATATATTTTGTTTTTACTGTAAATTAAATATAACCTATTCACACTAGGTGTTGGAGTAGGTTGTAATTTTTTATTAGCAGCATAGAGTAGAACAATTTTCTGCTTATAATTCTGATATTTTTTTAGCTTGTGGTGAAACCTGAAGACCTTTACTGTTCTGGTGAGGTATACATACAGGGTAGCCCATCGAAAACGTACCGCAAGGCATTACAGGGTAGTAATGAACTTTTCGGCAAAATCCAAAAACAGGTAAAGTTTGCTTCTGAGGGGGACAACTTTTGGCGCAAAAAGCATAGCAAAATCTTCAACCCCCTAAGTGGGGGTGCCATCCCCCAAATTTTTTTAAATGGGAATGGGGGTCAAGTGGGGGGTCATTAGAAAGGGCTTTTAATTCTCTATACATCGATTCTTACTTTTTGAAAATCGATCCATTATTTTAGAAAATATGCAGCTTTGAAAATACGAACAATATTTTTGACGAGAAATGCGAAAATCGATTTAATTTTACTTCAAAACTTACGGTATTAGCTTGGTAAATTCCTTCAAAAGAATTCGCTGTTTTTTTTTCTGATTTGCGAATTCTTTAGCCTGATTTTGGTGAGCAAAAAATTGTCCGCTTTTTGTTTCGTATTTAGATAGGCCACAAGAAGTTGCTAGATAACTGTCTTGTGACTTGTAGTTGAAGAGTACCAATACTGCCGAGTCTTTTAAATTGATTAATTATGGTGTACTCAATTCCAGAAAGAGTAGAAATTATTGAGCTTTTTTTCAAAAACAATGAATGCGGAAATCGGGTCGCCGAACTGTTCAACCAACGGCATCCTGAGAAACATGCGTCTGGAAAAATTGTTCGCGAATTGGTGGCCAAATTTCGCGAAACTGGCTCCGTTCATAACAAAAAGAGGCAGGTTGAAAATCCGGTACTAAATGAACCTACGGAAATAGCGGTATTGGGGCAAGTGGCAATGGATAGTACGCTGAGTACAATGCAATTGGCTACTGCGACAGGAGTGAGTCGTACAAGTGTCCAACGAATATTAAAAAAATACAAATTCCATCCTTATAAGATTCGGCTAGTGCAAGAGCTAAATGAAGACGATTTTGATCGTCGTTTGCAATTTTGCGAAATAATGACTGAACGAGCGATAAACGATAATTTCCTCTTTAATGTGTGTTTTTCGGACGAGTGTACGTTCTTCTTGAATGGTTTAGTGAATCGCCATAATTGTCGTTACTGGGCTGATACCAATCCAAGGATTTTCCATGAGACACACTCCCAACACCCCCAGAAGTTGAATGTATGGGCAGGTATTTTTGGAAATTCCATTGTAGGTCCTTTTTTCCTTCCTGGAAATTTGACAGGCGATATGTACTTGGATTTACTACAAAATGTCATCGACCCAGCTCTAACAAATATCATAGAGGACGACCCTGCTTACAATGAACACGAACTGATTTTCCAGCAAGACGGAGCTCCTCCACATTACTCGCTCAATGTGCGCAATTACCTAAATGAGACGTTTCCAGGACGCTGGATAGGACGAAGAGGTGCAATTGAGTGGCCCCCTCGGTCACCCGACTTAAATCCTTTAGATTTCTTTCTCTGGGGGCACATTAAAAGCAAAGTTTACAGCACTCCACCTGATACCTTGGAAGATCTGCGAGGACGAATCATTAATGTATGTCGCGAAGTAACACCGCAAGTGCTCCAGAATGTTCGACAACGGTTTGAAGACAACCTCTATCATTGTACAAGTTGGCGGACATTTTTAGCATTTACTTGACTAATACTGTAAGTTTTGAAGTAAAATTAAATCGATTTTCGCATTTCTTGTCAAAAATATTGTTCGTATTTTCAAAGCTTCATATTTTCTAAAATAATGAATCGATTTTGAAAAAGTAAGAATCGATGTATCGACAATTAAAAGCCATTTCTAATGACCCCCCCCTTGACCCCCATTCCCATTTGAAAAAATGTAGGGGATAGCACCCCCACTTAGATTTTGGTATGCTTTTTGAGCCAAAAGTTGTCCCCCTCAGAAACAAATTTGACCTGTTTTTGGATTTTGCCGAAAAGTTCTTTACGGTACGTTTTCGATGGGCTACCCTGTATAATAAACACTGGCCTCGCTTTAGTTGACAAAGTAAATCTTTGGGCTCTTAGCAAATAATACTGGATGGCGTCTACAGAGTCGTTGCATCGCAGCCTGGTGATGGAATGAGAGGGTAAGTTACAGTTTTTCTTTTATTTAAATCTGAATGCAGCTTACTTTCCTCAATTCTTATCATAGCTGTTAGTTATTTCACGAGACTAGTAATTCGTTATTTGAAGCATAAAATTATTTAGACTTTACATTTTGTTTGTGTACCATTTAAACCTTTAAATATTTTATATTCAATATCACCTTAACCTAAGACACTTACTGTATAATGACTTTATTTAATTATTATTATCGTCCTTTATTTCATTTTCGTTTAGTGTAAATAGTGTAAATATAATTATAATCCATAAAATCTTAAATTTTGCAACCTCTGGACCTAACAACACATGTAGTTGAAAATGGCTATTGTTATACCTAATTAGATCTTTAACTTCAACTAATCTAACCATTTAGTTTTCCCTTTTGTAACTACTGATCAAGTGGAACATCTCTACACAAGGGCGGTTCTTCACCACCGCTACAGGACAATCCAATATATTCTGTGAAGAAGGTTCGTCATAGACGTTACCAGCCAAGCTCAACTGGTCACCCGACAGAGGCAACACCATCACATCAGTTGGAAACGCTGTCTTTGAAGGCAACTCCCCATTTGACACCAGCACATCTTCAGGATCAACATCACTGCTTAAGATACGTAAGACCTTGTCCACCTTGCCTTGGTCATATATTCTATTGTAAAGATCAGTTGAAATTTGTGAAACTTTTATGCTAATTCTTATTCCAACTCTAAATTATAAAAATTACCTTTCTTGTAAACTCATATTCCAGTTATTGTAAAGAGCGAGTGTTGTGAAAATGAATTTTTTTAATTTTATTGTTTTAAATTGTTATTTTTGCCTTTTTTTATTTGACTGTCCTAAATTACCAAAATTGTAAGTAATATCCACTAATAAATATCTATATCTTATTGGACTAGATACAGTGGCGCCCTTATACAAGCGTAAATTTGAAAATAACACTCTACACCCCTGACTTACGTAGGTAGCTAACCTTGCATGCTTATTTCTTGCCGGTTCAAACGTAAAACTGTTGCAAAAATTGTTATTTAAGTATAATATAAAAATTAACCTACTTAATCCCTTTATATACTCCTTTAATTGGTATATTAATTTATGTCTGATTTGTTTTAAAGATCCAGAGTGTAAAGACACCACAAATTTTGCTACAGTTCACTTACCTCTATTTCTAGTTCAAAACCAGGCAAATAGGACAACGGCAGAGGGTGAAAAGGATTGCCGTAGGGCGAAGTATGGAACTTCACTAGTAGTTCCGGCCCGCTGCTAATAATTTCCGGAATCGTTTCACCACTACACAAATGCGCCAAAGTTGTGGCCGAGGGGCCCCAACCATCCAGTATTTCGATGAAATCTTGCATCATATTGCACTGATCCCATATTCTGTAACTAGAAAAGTATTCGCCGTTAGTTTGTTGCAAAAAAAACACTTTATATACGCAGGAACGGTAAATATGTTATCTTTGAAGGCAGACATTAACTATGCAGATGCAGAATCGTTAATATAATTTTGAATATAATAAAATTTCAAAACGCAATGTAGACAGAAAAAAATTCCTCTTGAAACGTAAAGTTTAACCAAAAAGTAGAAATATAAAGAGTCAGAGAAAGCAAATAAAATGAGACAGAGATAGTAGTGTAGTTTAAAGGGTTACGGAAGATGGTGACAGAGAATGGCGGACACACAATTAATAACAAAGTATTGCCATCTCACAATCAGTAGAACCTCCAGGACATCTGGTGTTTTCGACGGTTACATTTCACAAGGTCCGTCTAATGGAAATTCGTATAATATTTTGCATTTGCAACACAGGGTGTTTTTAAATGAAGTAGCAAAATGGTATCAGTGAATATAGAGCCAAAAATAAGAGGATTGGAGTAAAAATACCTTATATGAAAGTTGCATCCCTGAGGCGATATACCCTCTTAAAGGAGGGGATTGAAATTCACATTTTAATTTTTCATTTAACATGAGGAATGTTGGAGACACGAAACTTGGTATGAGCATCCTACTAATAGACAACTTTTCAACATTTGTTCGATCATTGGCGTATTTTATAAAGGAGTGAAACAGTCAACCCCATTGCAATATTTTATTAGAAATTTTTTATATGATTTATTGCGCAACTTTTTAACATTTGTAATTTTTCGATAAAACTGATAGTTTTCTAGTAAAAAAATTAGATACGTCATCGTTCACTAAAGGGGTAATTGCGAAAATTTGTAAAAATAAAGTAGGCGGATGTCATAACAAATAAATTGTTATTTATCATATTAATAAATTGACACTTTCTGTCAACCAATAATTAGTACCAATTGATTAATTTATTATCAGAATAATTATGGCAAATAATATTTATACCAATGACGAATATGTCGACATGCTCCAAGTGTTTTTCGAATCCAGAAAAAATAGTAACGCTGCAGTAAGATTATACCACCAAAGATATCCAAACCGACCGATTCCTCATAGACAAACATTGGCCTCGGTGGAAAGAAGGCTTCGCGAAACTGGTAAAATTCAGCCCAATCGTGAGGGTGCCGGAAGAAGGCGTAATGTCCGAACTGTTGAAACTGAGGAAGCTATACTGGAACATCTAGAACAAGACTGTGGTACAAGCACAAGACAGGTGTCCAGGCAACTGCAAGTTTCTCACAGTCTTGTGTGGAATGTAGCTCATGAAAATCTTTTATACCCTTTTCACCATCAACCCGTGCAAGAATTGAATGACCCTGATTTACCTAACCGCGTGGATTTTTGTCAATGGTACATTAATATTTCCAGGCATGACTTAAATTTCCTAATGAATATACTTTTCACCGATGAAGCAAATTTTCCTAGAGTAGGTGCAGTAAACCTTCATAATGTTCATTCATGGTCGGAAGAAAATACTCATGAAATATTTGTTTCAAGATGTCAACATAATTTCAGTTTAAACGTTTGGATGGGAATTGTAGGAAATACTCTAGTAGGTCCTTTTATTCTTCCACACAGGCTTGGAGCGGCCGAGTATCTTAGATTTTTGAACGAAAATCTTCCAACATTACTTGAGGATGTACCCCTCGCTACACGTCAGGTGATGTGGTATATGCACGATGGGGCGCCTGCACATAGTACACTTGCCGTTAGAGAATGGTTAAATTTAAATTCGCTAGATTGGTCGTGGTTGTGATGCCCCTGTTTGTTGGCCTGCACGTTCACCTGACTTAACGCCTATAGATTTCTTTTTGTGGGGCCACATAAAACGTATTGTTTATGCCACTCCTGTTGCCTCTTTAGAAGAACTACGCTTAAGAATATTTCAGGCAGTAGATGACCTTCGCAATAACCAAGAACTGTTTGTGCGAGTGCATTATAACTTCAACAGACGTATGCAGCAAAATGGAAATTATTTCGAGAAAATTTAATTTTGCATTTCTTCTTTTTTGTTTGTACTAAATTTTACTTCAAATAAATAACTTTACCTAATACATGTCCCATAGTCATAAGTTATCAAACATTTTTCATTAATTAATAGCAAATTATTCTTAACGTTATTATTAAATTACCACCTTATCGACAGAAAGTGTCAATTTATTAATATGATAAATAACAATTTATTTGTTGTGACATCCGCCTACTTTATTTTTACAAATTTTCGCAATTACCCCTTTAGTGAACGATGACGCATCTAGTTTTTTATTCCTTTATAAAATACGCCAATGATCGAAGAAATATACCAAGTTTAGTGTCTCTAACACTCCCCATGTTAAAGAAAAAAATTAAAATGTGAAATTCATATAAGGTATTTTTACTTCAATCCTCTTATTTTGGCTCTATCACTGGTACCATTTTTGCTACTTCATTTAAAATCACCCTGTAATAACTCAACAAAATCCACAAAACTCTCAACTCAACTCCACAAAAAAGTGGAATATCTAAAAGACAAGACCCTTGTATCTATATGTTTCTGGGATTGCTGAATCCGAATCCGGTGTTCGTTTGACTCGAGTAGCTCTGGTTAAAGGTCACGTTTTTGGAGTCGGTGAATCCAAATGGTCCGGTTGATCCGATCAGGTCTGTGTTAAGGTCCATTCAAGGTCAAATATAGAGAATTAATTGTCAACAAAGTAAACCAATGTATCTATACGTTTTTAGGGTCGCTTAATCCGAATCCGGGGCCCGTTTGACCTCATCAAATCTGCTAAGTTCTACACTCAAAACACTCAAGTATTTATTTATGCGTATTAAAATTTGAGTAACAAATAATATTATAGAAAGAAAGCTTTAACTCCAAGCCCGTGACTTTCGAATTTATTGTTTTCACATGACAAAATTCTAGTATCAGTAAGCCTAACTGAGTAAGCTTTAACCAATATGGCCGTTAATGTTTCAATGCCTCATGTACATTAATTCACACAGTGAGTCCTTGTTCGTTGAGATTCTTGAGAAAAGTTTTTCAAGAGATTTTTTGCTTTAATAAACCACATGAAATCACTACATCTCACTATTATGATATCGACGTTTGTGGTTTGAGAAGTGTACTCAACGAAGTACTCAAATTTTAATACGTATAAATGCTTGAGCGATTTGAGTTTAGAACTTGAGGGTATTTAGCAGACCTGATCAGGTCAAACGGACCACGGATTCGCCTTCAGCGACCCCAAAAACGTATAGACATATTAGTTTACATTATTGGCAATTGATTCCCTACATTTGACCTTGAGCTGACTTTAAACCGGATATGATTTTGTCAAACGGACACCGGATTCGGAGTGCGGCAACCCCAAACACATACAGATCTATGGGTTTACTTTGTTGGCAATTGATTCTATACATTTAACCTTGAACTGACCTTCAACCAAAGCTAATCGGATCAAACGGACCCCGAATTCGGATTCAGCGACCTCAAAAACATATAGATATGTTGGTTTACTTTGTTGGCAATTGATCCTCTATATTTGACCTTGAACTGACCTTAACCCAGAGCTAATCTAAGACTTGTCTTTCGGACATTACACTCTTTTTTTGTGGGCTGTGTAATTATAGATCTTAAACCGTCTGGCCGTCCTTCAACAAGTTGTTCAACACAAAACATCTAAGCAGTTCGTGAGAGTGTTGCTGAGAGTCCAGGAACATCAATTTGACACCGTGGTCACAGCGTATTCTCACGATAGATTTGCATCCTCATGCTTACAAAGGTCAATTGACTCAAGAACTGAAGCCTACTGACCACGCAGAGCAAAGAGAGATCGTTGAATGGATTATGGAACAACAACAGCTTGACAAAATCAGTTTCAGCGATGAGGTCATTTACATCTTGATGGCTTCGTTAGTCGACAAAATTGTCGCATTTGGGGTTCAGAAAATCCACGTTGAGAAACACATACATCCACCCACAACGTGTCACTGTTTGGTGCGGATTTTGAGCTGGAGACATCATCGGACCATTGTTCTTAGAAAAATTATAATCCAGTTTTTTTGTGCCTAAAATGTAAAATATGGACGTAGACGACATGTGGTTTCAACAAGGCGGTGCCACATACCGCACAGTCCGAGAAACAACTCAATTACTGCATGAGTCATTTCCTGGTCGTGTAATTTCCCGTTTAGGTGATTAGAATTGGCCGCTCGGAACACGCGAGCGAATTAATGCCGTTGGACTGTTTTCTTTGGGGTGTTTTTGAAGTCTACGGTTTGTTTTACTACTACTATTTTAAAATTTGAGATTTTCGAAAAAATAAATACACAAAAGTTGTTACTCTTGGTTTTGGCATTTATGGGACATCCTGTATACCTCAAACAGAACCCACTCGCATATGCCATTGATGTCAACACCTAAAGATGTGGGCATTTTTCGTCTAATTTAGGTGTCACTTCGATATGTAAGTATCTCTCTCCAATATTAATCAGAAAGAACGTGACGCTATATTAAAACTTTTGTATTATGCTATTAATCAAAATTAAACACGGACCACGCTCCAAAACTTTGAAACAAATTAGTGAACTTAATGTATAAACTAGTTTACTGACATCCAGAATGTATAAGAGTCATACATTAATTTGTGTCTAATTTGTGAAAAATGAATTATGGTAAGGTAAGGCTATATCGCCTAACTAACAATAAGACTAAGGGAAACTGAAAATACACTGCGTCAATTTCAAAACATCCCCGATTTAATATCGAAGAATTAAGAAATATTAAGAAAGATTCTTTCATATCTGAATAGAATCCTTTGGGTTGTACTAGTATAAAGGTTCATATAGTAATTAGAATATAATACAAAGTCGGAACCACATTAGTTGGTCTGCTCACTGCTGCCAGGTACAAATATGTATGAAGATATTCTCTTAATTTTTCCAAACATAAAAATGGGAAAGTTAAGGTGGGGTGATAGCATGA